TTACGGCCCACAAACGAAGGATATACAAAGGCTATGAGGGTTCTACGTCAAAGCCATGGAAAACAATTTATGACATCCCGTAGTATTTTTGAGACCGTGAAACGTAATAGATCACAGTTAAACGAAAATTCAGAGGAATTCGCAGATTTCTTGGAAAGTTTAATAGTACATAGAAAAACTCTTGTCTCTTGATCGCGTAGATGAATTGGATTCAAGTTCGTGCTTGAGTCTGTTGCCAAGAGATTACCAGTTCGTCTGCAATGAAAGTCCATAAAGATCAGCTCCCGTCTAGAAGAGGAGGGTTTAGTGCCCGAGTTGGATGATATTGTGAGCCTGGTGAAGGCAATGACAACCAAGCTTTGTACAAGTGTGCTGGTATACTTCATTCCACCCCTGGCATAGAGAAACCAGAGAGCAGAACGCAATCATTTATGACGAAAGGGTCTCAGAGAAGCGGATACCGAGAAAGCTTTATGGTGTCTAGTAATCCATACAAACTTAGTGAGTGTAACAGCTTTCGTAGATGTCCCCGACAGATAGGTTACAAGCTGCAAGACAAATACGGTCGTGTTTCGTCCCTTTGCAAGAAGTTCATACAAAGGTGAACTTTGAAGCAGCCAGCAAGTTTAGTGGTAAGTTGAAAGTGAAATTAGCGTCATCAAGGTCTGACTCCGAATCGAGTGACGATAATGGTGCGGTGAAGAAGCCTGTAGTTGCAACTGGTAAGCCATCGTTGGAGAGAGCGTCACAGATTGATATGATATAACGAAAACATGCTGAAAGCTGCATCTCAGATCAAGTTGACTCATTCCATGGTAATGATCTCCTCCTGCCTGCCTTATTCTACATATTGAATGGAATGGTTCGCAGTTATTCTGGTACTAGATCGAAAAGAATAAAAAATTCACCGGTTGCTGAATCAAAAGTACTTCTCTGCATGTTTAACTGTATTCTAACTGCTATGATTAATTCCAAACCATTTATCCCATAATCACTCAAATTCCAGGAACGATCCAATTCTACCATTTAAAGAAGCTGGCGGACACGATGTAAATGAGTATTCATGATCTGAAATAAAGAAGCAACTGGTTTTCAACATTTTACTCAACTTACGAGTACAGTCCGCCATGCAGACACAAATGGCGCAAATGGGGAATTCTGGAATCGACCTCGGGACCATTTGATGCAGTAAAACAACCCGACATGACCTTATCTAATTTTCGCCTCCACGATCAAATTTCTTTCCTGTTATGAAACTACGATAAGACTGCTGAAAAATGGAATAAATATATCACTGATCTCAACAGAATACATCAATAAACTTTAAGCCAAGGGTGCTGCTCACAATAAAGTTATATAGGAGAATTGACTTCAAGCTTTATTTTTCCCAGATATTTGTATTACATTCATGTGATGTCTGGGTTTTTTGTTAATGCGAAGACAATATTTCTATATCTCTTTATGTGCTACACAAACAGACTTTATAGCAGACTGTTCCGACTGACCCTAATGTCAGAAAGAACAACCAAACTGTAAGTACATTATACATCAAATTATGTGTAATTTATATAATAACTTATCCATGCCTGTACAATAGGTATGTTCCTGCATAAACAGGAAGGAATATATTATTATTATTAAAACAATATTTATGCATGCCTATACAATTGGTGTACCCTACATAGCTAGGGAAAAAAATGTACTTTATTATATTATCTTTACTAAATATGCTTATTAATATTATGTGTAAATTATCGAATTGATGATGCCTGTAAACTGGCGTCCCTCATGTAAAATATGAGAATATATATTATTATTATTATAGACGACACCGCAGTTTGCGCAGGAGAAGAAAGTTGGAGTTTAAGAGTCCAGTTCTTAATCCACAAGTTTACAAGGTATTACTAGTCAGTGTAAAAGTATAAAATCTTTAAGGATTTGTGAGGAGGAACCCAAATTATCTACTTCTGTTATTAAAGAGTTTGAAGATGATGAAGACGATCATACAAACGGCGGTAAAGTGGATATTTGTAACAATGATCATGATAGTGAGCATTTGTCTTCGGCTGATCATGACGAGATGAGCGGAACTCCTACTACTACTGAGCTGAACAAAGGCTTTGTACCACTTGAACGTGAAGTAGAATTAGGAGCAGATGCGGTGGCAGAAGGTATGGATTCTAGTGAGACTGTCGGCGTAAATGATTCGCGTGTAGTCCACCTATCGACAGATGTTAAAGCTAAACTGGAGCTAATAAAAAGGGATAGCAGTGGTGGTAATCTTGCGGTTAGACAACCTTCTAAATGTCGAACAACAACAGTTTCTGATGCACCGCTAAGTTCATCAACTGGCATCAGTCAGTCGTCGTTGGTGTTGTCATCCACAATGAAAGGGATGTCCACGAACTCACGTGTCTTGTTCTGTGACTATGCTATATCGGTCCGTTTGAAAGGGCGAGAGTTAGTGGTCAGTTTAGTGAGGATAAGCTAACTGTGTATGAGAGGGCAATTGTTAAATTGACTTGCACGAATATGGGCTTTTCAAGTTTCAAGTTACCATTTGAATGTTATTATCTTTGGTGTAAATTACTCTGTGCCTACGCTTGGTTGGTCAGATACGCCGTGTGTTTGTTAGTCATCTACATTCTATGATACAATCTCATGGGCGTGTCATTGTTCAGAGTTGAGTATATAGATGATAGAAGGAGGTCAGCAAATGAACTCTGCGACGATTTTCCAACCTAGGGCGTCAACCTGAGAAGGTTTGTAGGCGTACTGGTGTAATTCCTGCAATTCTTGGAAGGAAGTGCATAAAGACATGATTTGCGTTTTTATGTGAGCTGTTTGTATTTACGTGTGATGCGTCATATGAATTGGTGTTTTTGATTCACTGTGTTTATTTGTTGTTCTCATATCTTGTTGTATTACATAATTTTTTAAAATTTTCATCGTGCTTACTTCTGAATTTTTTTCGTTTCTTCTACATCCGTGAGTGAACTGATTTATGTTAAAGGCAGCAGATGGTTCGTATATGCCGGGGAGGCTAGTGATGAGATTGATATGGAAACATAGACAAGGATGAGCCGTGGTGTCAATGATTGAGAATGAATGTTTCTATTCAGGCAGTGGTCTCACGCGCCGGGTAGCGAGAGTGTAGACGACTGAGGCTTGCATACGTCACCGTTACTAGAACTGAGGCAGGATGAGTGACAAGCGATTGCAGTGTTAACTGATGGTGAACAGATAAGGGGATGTGCGAAGAGTATAATGAGGTGCTGCTATGGTCACGTTGCATTCTGCAATAGTCATTCTAGCAAGTGGCGATTGTGTCGCAAGTTGTCAAGAGGATGCCTTTAACTGGAAGGCGTAAGTCGTCATTGATGTGTGATATTGGTCTGTGGGTATGCTTGTGGTGTGTTGGCTTTTCTGTTTGTTTTCAATTTCAGCTCTGTCCGTGTGACCCAGCTTCTCGCAATGGCATCCAAGTCAACGTGCATTGGTCGTGATGGAAAAAAGGGATGGATCCGTTTTTTGCCGGGGAGTGTCAATGTAGTTGAGGATTGAACGATCAATTCATGGTTGTTTGCTCAACACCAACTCCCCAATTTTCGCGGAGGCATCAATACGACAGTCGTCTCGTCGGTCGCTGTTCGTTGGAAGGTAGAGAAAAATTATCAGATATTTTGTGTACAATAACCTAATGGTTGTCTCTGTATTCTTTCAAGAATAAAGGGTTCTTAATTCACCAATTTGTGTTCTGGTTTTTTGGGTTGGTTATTGAGCATATTTCCTGAAAGTCTTTCAAGGACAGCGTGAAGACTAGCGTTATTAGATCTGGTTATTGACAGTTGGTCTTCTTTTTCTTGGCGAAAAGTCTGTTAATACGATTAGAATTTTAGCTTTCAAAGTAGGATGTTTTGTAATTGAGAATCGTAGTCATGTTTCGGATTAATATCGCACGTCTAGCTGTTATAACCCTATGCATATAGGTTTTTCCTCATGGTAAATTGTGTCAAAGGCACACTTCTTAGGTAAATTTATTTTTCCTTTTTAAGTGACTGCAAATAGTAAATCATTTGTTGTGATATTTTGAATACCTACAAACGCTTTCGTGGAAATTAGTATATATTCATTTTTTTGACCAGGACACGATTTTTATCAAGAAGGTTCTCAGCATGTCCGATTTTGCTTTGAAATTCAAAGATAACTTTAAGTTGCTCACTAAGGTAGTACCATAAGGCGATTACCTTCAGTGAGAACTATTTTAAGGTAGCTTTAGGCTGTGTCATCGAAGTAAGTAGCGTAGGTTAATTGTGTACAAATATATAAAACTTTGTGTAACTGGTCAAACCGTAGTACTCACATACGAGTTAGTTTCATTAATAACGAATGTAAAGTAAAAGCGTTTACCTTGATTTGCACACCTAGCTCATAAATATTATGCCTGCATATGGTATCCTCTCCAACCACAGATACAGTGAAAAGCACATCTACATGATAACTTAGGTTCCTGCAGAAGATTCTGCTAGCATTTACAGGTGATTTCCAAGTAGTGATAGAATTTTTTGTCAAAGAGGACTGTTCTTCACACTAAAATAGGCAAAATTAATATCCTGAGATGTGAAGTCTTCATTGAATGATACTATGCCAAAAGGTGCAGCTTCTAAATAAAGTAGACAATTTGTGTAGATGACATTACACTCCAACTATCCTATATTCCTCATTATAGCGATATTTTAATACAGTCCGCCCGAAACACTTATCGTTGCAACCAATATGCTATGAGTGTTTCACAGTCAGATCACATGACGCGGAAGCCAACATAACTAGCCGGAAAATGAGAATTCCCCTCAACCCAGATAACATATAACACAGTTTTATTAAAAATTATTGATCAAAAAAATTTATAAGGGAAAGTTTAACTGAACGTGATATATAATTCCGGCCAACGAAATAGGCCGGACTGCACGGCTGAACTCTTAAGGCGAAAACTTCAACATTCGATGTGAGCTATTTCAAACTTCTGAAGGTCACCGCTTGGGATGCGTTACACTTGTCTTCCTCCTTCGGATAATAAAAATAAAAGTCCATCACTTCTGGAACTTTTAGATGTTTTGTGTAGCCGTGGGAGTGCGGATTGCTTTGAACCTTCCTTTGGTGAGTCTCGACTGTCGATTGATTCTTCGAAAATAAATCTGTTCATAGGTACACACTCTTCAAATAGTTCGATGTAAGATACCCGTAAATTTCTTCACCTATGGTCGAAACCTCCGTTGATTACTTGCACATAATAATCAATCGATTATAGTTCCGTTGTTCTGAGAACTTCGAGCACACATCACAAATACTGACTTATTTATTTGAAGTTGTTTAAGTGCCTGAAGCACACAATGCATTTGATTGTTGTTTTTGAAGTGCTACTATAGTTATGTGGTTCCGTGCAATTCTTTTTCTCAAAATAATGCTTATGGGCTTTGACTTAATACCCCCCGTATATATAAGAAAAGGACTTCGAAAACTTTGAACGATGTGGAAATGAGCACAAATACCCAAAGCTGCCGTAGTTATCTTCAGCGCATCTGAAGTCAATAATATGCTGGAATGTTTTATATAGTCATATAAATACAATTATACATTTTACTGATTTTGGTAATATGCTGTATAGGTACTCTTCGCTCCATAAGACTTTTTGCTGACTCTAGATCCACCGAAATGTAAGGGAAGCATGTGCGGAGCTGGTCAGGGCATTTTGTAAGTTAGAGCACGTGTCACTGATTGCAGAGAAGAGCAGAAATTACAAAAAACCTCTTTTGTGCTTCTCAGGTGATTTCCGGCTGGGGAGGCAACCTCGGGGATCCTAAACAAAAGATATGGCACACAGAACTTTGTATTTATTCTTAGTACACCATGTTATTTGAGGAGCGTGATTCTCCTGACTTTGAACATTATCTGGCGGCGAACTACTAGTGGTCAGCAGGGAAATATTTCTCCTAGTGCAGTTGGAATATGTTTTCTCCATTTTTGGGTCTAGTGAATAACATTGGCAGTGCAGGATTTTTCTGTATTGTATGATGAGATGACTTCATTAAACCAGTGTAGTTATGGGCTTACATTGACTTAGTTGACCAGAGCTCGTGGGGTGTAGTATCGTCCACTATTGGTTTGCTTTTGCTTTTCGGTTTACAGTGTCATACTGTTGTATGTTTTCCTCCGTCTTTTGATTTGAGGCTAAGCTAGTTACGTCATCTTTAAGTCCTGTGTTTTACTATTTTAATCTCTTTTCAGTTTCAGATCACATAGTCAGAGTAGTCAATTCAGCAAGCAGAAGACGCCTGGGCAAGTTGGACACATATACGGTATTAGAATACCTATGGTTTGTTTCAATTCCAATAAGCATATATTTTATGCTAAAGTTCAAAGAATGTACCTCCAGTTTCCGTTCTAACAGCTTTGATATTTATCGAAAAACTTGTGGTATCAAATCCAGATTCACCTTTGTTAACTGAAGTAACGGCGTTTGATCTTTTTGCAGTATCAGTGGTTTGTATGATAAAATGCAATTATTTTATATTTAACCTAGGTGGTTGCCTCCAAATATTTACATGATGATGATACAGACTATGGAATGTACAACGCAGATTGGGCAAGTGAATTTGATATGGATCTTAAAGAGCTGAATGAACTTGAAGTTAAATTCATTTTAGCTCTTAATTGGGAGTTTTTTGTAACGAAAGCACAAATACTCAGATTTGGTTTTGAGATTGGTGTGTTCAATCGGCCTGCAAAGTCCACTTCAGCTGGCGACAAATTAGAATTTAGATTTCCTGCGTTATCTTGTTTAGTTCGTAATTTGTCTTCTCACAAGATTCGTGCAGTTAGTAAAGTGAGTATTTTATTGCCTGTCCAGATGATTCACATAAATTTAATGTTTTAATAGTCAGAGATTTATACTAGGCTAAAATTTTTAATTTCCATGTCTGCTCATTGCATTTTAATGTGATTATTAAATATATAACACAAGAAACATTTTTATTTGTTGGATGACGTTTCGAACACTTGTTTACTATTATATAAATTTATATATATATATATATATATATTCATTTTATTCCTATGCATTCCGAGTGGAACATAGGGCTTCAAGCTTAAGCTTTGAAGCTTCATTAGGACTGGTGATTGTTTTTGTTTTTACGGAGTGGGGTTGCTAGCTTCACGCCTGTCCTTCCCTCCTTACCATGCTTCTTACTACCAGGTAAACGAGGTTAATGAGTGCTTCGGCAGGCGATCGGACCCGTTCAATGTGTCTGGTTGGGGAGTATTCTACCACTGAACTGCCGGTGCTATCCACGTATATATGTGTATATAATTTGTAACTGATTGGTTTTCAAATATGGAATATCTAGTGTAGTATTTGCTCACATGCAGCTAAACAAAGTAAAGGAATTAAAAGTTTGGTGTGTAAGTAAGATGTGTGAGTCAGTCTAGAAAAGTGTAGACCACCGGTCTTTGTTTTCGGATGTACGTTTGTAATTAAACACGATAGGCCTTATGAGTAGAAGTAAGACTTAGTTGGAACATAGTAGTACTTGTCCAGGCTCCTCTGAGGTACAGCTCATCAATGAAATGTCCAGTCTGGGTCAGTTTAGAAGGCCAAATCCAGCCTATAAGTATGCTTTACTTGTGGAAAATTGATGATAGTCTGTATTGTCACTGGCTTTTCTTGTTTAACACTCGACATCTATCGTGAAAATTACTCTGAATCTGCACTGTTAGAAAATTTGCAGCTTCCTTACGTCCTTGGGGTCTGCGGCTTGGTCGTAAATTTAAGCAAAGTGAACTGTAATGCAGCACACTTTCTTTTTGATAAGATTTTCGATCTTCCGATAATGTGAATCCTAAAGTAGAAAGAAACAGCTATCCAGTGCTCCTTTGTTCTAAATGATCTCTCTAACTGATGTTAGTTCTTGACGAAAATCTAATAACCGAAAGTCATCTGTCTCTTCGGCATTCGATAGTGACACATTTTATTGAATCCATACGAGTCGTGTACACATATTGAGGGCATATGGACTAACCCAAACTACAAAGTGTTAGACAGTGAATCCATTCCACACTTCAGCTACCCGTTTTTAATTACACCGAAAACCAGGGTGGTGCGCGCCGATTTTCTGATATCTCTCGCGTCTTTAAGATTTTTAGCCTAACCATCATTTGTCAGGGATACATCGTTTCAGCAGGGTACACTTTTGCTTCATGCGTGTGAAATCTGTCGTCTCAGAACTACAAATACCCGGTGATTTCTCGTCTCCCCTTACAATTATTTCGTGTAAGCTGTTACATATAGCAATGACACAACTTCTTCTTGCTATTGGGGGTTCTCAGATGTTATACTTACAACTCAAATACCACTGGCTAACTGGGATTTGTTCTGTGCAGTGGAAAGCTTGTGGTGTGGTGAATATTGTTGATGGCATATTAGGGTACGACTTCCCATATAAGCTGCAAGAGATGAGTCAGTGTATCGAATGGCTCGGAATAGAATTTGCTGGTGATCATGCCTCATTTATTACTGTACTCTAGAAGGCAAAAATATTAAGAATATCCCTTTAATTACTTTACATATTGTGTTATTTTCTAGTTGTATTTCATTGCTTCATCTTCTGTTTTATGGTGTGTCCATTCTTCTTCATGATTTGCTCTTAGGTCAGTTTTGTATTTCCCATTGATTGTGTTGGACCCGAAACATTCGGGCTCTGTTGACATGTTGGGTATTAGTACGGACGCTTCGATGATGTCTGTGGATTAACTTGAAGTAATTTTGGTGAATGGTGACTGTGCATTTCGTCCCGTTTGTCGCTCGTCAACTGAATGTACCTGCATTCTCAGTAAGTGGTGTTGTTCCTGCTGAGACTCTGATTCTGCACCAATCTTTCCAAACGCCAAAGCACTATCCATTAGGTTACGAGAGCCACTTTTTTTTGTCAGTAGGAGATCATCAAGTCGTCCGTCCTGCCAACCAACATATCAATGGAGCGGAGCATTTCAGGCCAACATAATCAACCTACGGAAAATACAGAAATAACCCCGAAACCAAATAATAACTGATATCAGTTGCAAAGGGGTTGGTTCTCTTAGCCCAACGGATAATACTTCGGTGCTTGAAGTCATGGGTGCTAGGTTCAAGTCTGAGTGGGAACACTATCAGTGCAGGTACATCCAGACGATGAGTCCCAAATAATAAGACGAAATGTGCATCCTGAATTCCACCTTTAGTCACCATCTACCGAGCAACCAAACGTCGAAAGTAATTTGTTTTAATGAACATCTCTGCTTCCCCCACCAGTCTTGCTGTCTATGATACTAAAACAATGCCTGGTACTCGCATTTTTATACTTGTTTTTATATTTGTGAATCTCTTAAATTCAATCACTTGTGTTGCTTATCAGACGATCATCTCAATCGTGATTGTTTCATTTTCAGATTGTGTTTGTCTTGGCTGTGGCATATATGAGTATGAACAACTACTCTGACTGTTCTTTAAGCATAAACTGTCGAATTCAAATCAAACAAGGCTTTCATCAGAAATTGCAAATCATTACCTAAACAACATATCATCAAAAGCAATGCAACCCTGTAAACCAAAGGAAGTTGACCAAAAGCTTTGCTCTGTAAACTTGATTGAAAGATGTGGTCAATGTCAATATACATCCTGTGTATATGAGAAAGGCAACAGCCTAAACGAACCAACAGTAGTCTGTCCTACTGTATGATAACCGCTAAAATTTATCATTTATTATTTTTCAAATATTCCAAGATTATTTGTGTTCAAGTTATTTTAGTATTTATCTATCACTATATACAGAAATAAAAGTCCATTTTCGTCTTCTTTTGTCTTTACGTAGGGTTTAACGAGTTATATATTTCTGCACTAAGAATAAATAGAATGTGCACATTTACTACCGCTGTAATGTTAGTATTCTAGTATATGTTCGAAATTTTATGTAACTAACTTAGGGTTCATGACGTCCTAAAGTCTCTCATATTTACTGGATTTGTAGTGGTCATACTAGTGCAACGACAGAAGACAAGGGCCAGGCAACAGATCGTTTATTGAGGAAATCAAGTGATATTTATAGGCTTTTATGTACATTATTATTCGTTTTGTTAGTAGAGAAGCAACGTCTCCTGATAAGTTGTTTCCTTGCTGATTGTTATTCCGTCATTTCTTTTCGACCGTTTCTTAGAAAGTTAAGCCATATATCTGCGAATCGTATTTGCACATGTTAAGTCTGCTGTGATTGGTTGGTGAGTTCCTCAAGGTTAAGCTTTGTCACTGTTTTTTCTCATGACCCCGATTCGGGACGTAAACTGTTGTCTATAATTTTGGCTTGCAGACAGCTCTCACCACACTAGTATTAGAGTAGGTGAGAAATAAAAAAGTCGACACAAATACTTACTCGGTAAATTTGTATTTCACATATAATTACTTGAAGTATCTCTACTATACTTGCCAATCATAATACACACATTCTCTTAGTGTTACTCAATAATTTCCCTTATGTTTCTGAGTGGGGTTAGGTATGAACCTGTTAGACGGGGGATTTTATGTATGTAGATGAATGGTTGTATGGATAGTTAGTATTCTTCCTTTCTGTGGACAAATAGTGAGTTCCACCAAATTGGGGAACTGTTTTTAGCTAGAATAATATGATTAGGAGCAATAATTTGTGCTGCGTTCATTCTAGTTTACAGAACTGTCAACATTCTTAGTCTCCCTAGGTCACAATTTCAACTTGACTGACATGGTAAATCTTTATCAGAAGTGTTTTGGTGGTGTCGAAAAAGGATTAGGCTAGTCGAATCACTGTGCTGAAACCCACAGAGACTTGTAAAACCTATAGACTTTTATACTAGTGATCATTTGTGAATTTGATGTCTTAGCTATCGACTCCTTACCTGTAAGGGAACTATTTGACTTAAAGTGTACAGACGATATACGATTTCCTAAACCCAATGTTCCAAAGTCCGAATGTTTTACCATGTCAAGTGTAAGACAATGCTGCACCATTGGGCTATCCGGGGCCTTAGCTTAAGATCGGGGATTTTAGTGATGAAATCCATCAGCTTATTCTGAAGTAGTAAGAACGCTAGTGACTTAGATGCTGACGATAACTGTCTCCTCATATTTATGGAAATGCCGTATCCATCTACCTATCAAAGAGAAAGCGTGAAACAACAGAAGTTCTCCAATCCAGTCTTATGATGAAACATCGTGTTCTATGAATATTTGGTCGTAGTCATTCCACCATGTGAACTGATGGAGTCCTGCAGTCATTTTTGTCTGTTATAGGATCAGGCCCACATCTGGTCTTTTCTTTCATGTTTAGTCATTCAAAGTGTAGTCGCTTGAACTGATACACTTTTGCGTAGGGTTCTAAGCCGGCCTATCAATCTGACACCAAGACGCTCATAACACTAAAAACAAATTTTTAACACAGTGCAACTCACTTTTCAGCACAAAAGAGAATGTTCTGCGAGCTCGCCTTGCAACCACAAGGTCCTGGGTTCTAACCCCGGTGGGCGCGTACCGATGAAGATTCCCAAACTAGGACGAAATAGGCGTCCAGTACTCCCAGGTTTTCCAATGTCAGCTGGGGTCCTCGAGACTGTAAAAATCTATAGTTGGAAACAATTGGTGACATGGCTCAAAATCGTTCTCAGTGGCGCAGATGCATCCACTCCTTGTGACTTATGATCTCCGATGAAACTGTTTTGTTCTTCGTTAATACTCTTCCTTTGTCTCATACCTCTGCTCACTGTCTCTATTATGCATTTTTTCTACTTTCTTCTCTTGCTTCGCGTGCTACACGGAGTGTGGCGACTTGAACTTCCGCACATTTGTGCAAAGTTCTACGTCGAAAACAGACAGACAATGTCAGCTCATGATGAAACCCTGTAACCAATCAAATCGCTACAAACCAAGACTTGAAAAACAGAATTGTTTGAAGGATGACTGCAAAGGCTAGATCGTTTTTTTGTGTCCAGTATTATAGTTCGAGAAGCCCACTCTATGTCGGAGTTGCACCTAAGTATTTCACGCGCTCGGTGGAATGTCAGGCTATTATTAACAAAATCAAAGCCAAAGAAAATATATATCTATGACGCAATGTATTTAATCCACCATCAGTCAGTCGGCGGTAGTATAAATATTGATGGCAGTCGGAGTGGCTACAAAAATCCTAGTTGAAGAAGAAGAGAAAGTTGGGCTACACGACAGCTGCCTTCGATAGAAACACTCCTAAATCTCCCTTTCAAGCAGTACTCATGGTCCTGCGATCCCTGTTGAACTTACAGACGGTATATGATTTTGTGTCTCTACCAGCTTGTAGAACTGGTCGGGGGAATTAAGTAAACTGGAAGTGATTATCGTTATTGACATCCAGACCAGCTAAGTGAACTTGGTAAACCTCCGAAAACATGAAACACGCATTTCCAATCCACCCCTTCGCTACTCTTGTGTTGCACTGTAAACAGAATGCAGTATATGTGGAACACCTTTTAGAAAATATGTAGTGAGTCATATTAAGTTTATCCTAGCCATAACAGGTAGAACTGGGTCCCGAACCTGCATCTTACGGGCTAGTAATTATGAAACGTAACCAGTGAGCCAGTCTTATGAAGTAGTTTCGTACGCCTTCAAAAACTCAGGTCCTTTTCGGTCAACTACCCGAGCTGAATTGCACCGGAAATTATTTTGCTGCGATATAAATGTTAAGAAAGGACAGTTTTATCGACCATAAAATGTCGAAACTCTAAAATGTTTTTCTTAATGAATGTAGGCTGCACGTCAAGAATGATCTATCGATTCGTATTTTGACAATTCAACTGGAGTGGTTGAATGAACAAATGATAGATTTCAATGTCAACTAACTATATGAGTAATGATATATATTTACTCCATCTCATCGGGATAATTGATAACAATTTGCTTTCTTTCTCCACTCACCTGCCATATTTGATCTTGAAAGCTTTGCGGTATTGAAGGTAATTCAACAGTTTTGTCTAATCTATCTCAAATTACTTGATTGCGAATTCTAACTTTCTTATTTTTCAACATTCATACAAGACCGTACCTACTGGGCAACATCTTCAGCTCATACTTCAATTTGAAGCGTGCACTGAAGACGTTATCTAGTAGGGCAATGAAAGCTTCGCAAATAAATTATCCAGCTCAGAAAAAACAGCTACACCAAAATCATTCACCTGAGCTACAAACCTTCTCGATCATATCTAAGACCGTACCACTAATCCACAGACGTAACAGTTACACATTAATGTGGGTAAATTGAAATTATGAAAAAGGTACAGTTTTGTCCTTTTTTTGAGAAAACCTTTAATTTTCTTGTATAATAGAGTTCCTTTTATTTGCAGATTACACCTTTTCAATAAGCTGCTACTAATTAACATAAGAAAAAATTTACAGAAGTGATTTGATTGAAAAAAAATTTCCGATGCATTTGAAGTTTTGTTATATTATAATAATCACAGCTAATAAACTGGCATTGTCTGAGTACTGTTCCTTTGCTGTCTTTCTTTCTCTTGACGGAATTTCATTTGATTAACTTTACGAATTTGTCGTCGTAACTGACGATGTTGCTTGATAGCAGCTTTACGAGCGCGTCTATCGTCTGCAGATTCATTTTTATTTCTAACTATTAAAGCTGGATCTAGTGGTTCTGCAATCTCCATGGTACTACCACCAATATCACTTTTCTCGGATGATTTCTTCTTGCCTTTGCCCGACTTTGGCATACGTAAATGGTTGTAATGAGTTACACTACTGTTGGATTTACCTATCAGGAAATAAATGTATAATATAATATAAGGTAATTAATAGACTACAAATGATAAACTTTGAAGACTGAGCTAATGATGATTTGTACCTATGTCCTCAAAATAAATGCATTGGTTCTTAACTTTTTTAGTTATAAGTAAAATATACAAAAAACATGCATTACACATTTTTGATTCAGCACTGTTGGAGGATGTGATCTATGGAACAACTAGCTCGATAACAGATGGATTCTGTTGTAAGTCTATGAAGGACGGACAAGAGACATTATCAGTTAGTGTTTTCTGTGTGTGTAGACTGTGGAACGAACATTCGTATTTAATCCAAAGTAACGATTGTCCTTAAAGTTTTATTTGTAAGCTGCCAACCATTCACATCAGTTTAGTGTTAACAGCAGAATTTGGTCACTGTGATAGAGTATAAATCCATATTCTGTCTGTCTGTTTTCGACATAGAACTTTGCACAAATGTGCGGCAGTTCAAGTCGCCACATTCCGTGTAGCACGCGAAGCAAGAGAAGAAATTACAAGAAAAGCATAATAGAAACAGTGAGCAGAGGTGTGAGACAAAGGAGTAATAAAGAAATACAAAACAGTTTCATTGAAGATCATAAGTCACAGGGAGTGGATGCATCTGCGCCACTGAGAACGATTTTGAGCCATGTCACCAATTGTTTCCAACCATAGATTTTTACCGTCCCGAGGACCCCAGCCTGGAAGTCTACACCTTCCTACGTGGCTTAGACCAACTGTTGTGGATTTCATTGACTGATGCCAAGTTTTTGTTTGACCGCCGCTAGCTTTTTTCCAGCCTGACCCTATATCCGCTAACATTGCTCGTCGAGGGAGGCGATGGCTTGGCATACGTAACACATGTCCTAACCATCTCAGTCTTTGTAGCTTCACGACTTCGTCGATTGATTTCCCCTGTTTACCTAGAACTCTACGCCTAACCTCCATGTTGCTCACCTTATTATGCCACTTTACACGGGAAATAGAACGCAGGCACCTATGATCAAAGACAGCTAGTCTTTTCATGTCTTCCACTCTCAGTGGCCAGGTCTCACAACCATAAAGGAGGACGGAGCGGACTGATGAGCAGTACACCCGCCCTTTGGTCGATAGTCGAACATCTCGTCTACGCCAGAGTCGGCGTAAACTAACAAATGCGAAACGAGCCCCTTGTATTCGTGCTGAGATTTCGTCAGAGATCAGCCCGTTGGGGCTGATGGTACTTCCCAAATAAGTGAAGCGGTCAACGTGCTCTACCACTTCACTTCCTATTTTTAAACTAGGCGTCGATGTAGTCCAGTCCTGTAACATCATCTTGCATTTGGCGGGAGCGAATCGCATGCCAAACATTCGTAGATTGCGGCTCAAGGTGTTTAGAAGACTCTGCATTTCGTCAGCGTCTTCGCCTAGAAGGACTATATCGTCTGCATATTCCAAGTCAACGAGATTATTCCCCGGTAGCAAGTCAATCCCTGAGTCGCTGAAGTCACCTAGGGTTAAGTCCATTAACACATCTATGATGAAGTTGAATAGAAAAGGAGATAATGGGCATCCTTGACGGACACCACTGGTCGTCATCAGTTCAGATGACAGCTCGCCGTAAGCCCTCACCTGGCTGTATGAGTACGAGTAGAGTGCCTTAATCAGTGCAATATATTTTCTTGGAATTCCCTTTACAGCCAAGCATCTCCAGAGAACTTCCCGATCGACAGAGTCGAATGCTGCCTTTAGGTCAAGAAATATAATGACTGTTGGACGCCGGTAGGAATGCCTATGTTCTAGAATCTGTCGGAGGGTGAAGATATGATCAATACACCCTCTTCCTGGTCTAAAGCCTGCCTGGCTCTCTCGTGTTTGTGCTTCCCGAGCACCACTCAGTCTACGCATGATTATTGAGCCTAAGACTTTAGATACTATATTAGTCAAGCTAATCCCTCTGTGATTATCACAGGAAGACTTGTCTCCCTTCTTGTATATGGGGATAATCAGTGACTTACACCAACCCGATGGGACTTCTTCTGATTCCCAGACGCTGCCTAGTACCTCAGTTAATCCGGACAGTAAGCTGTCTCCACCGTACTTAAATACCTCTGGAGTCATTCCATCAGGTCCCGCTGCTTTGCCTAGTTTCAGATTGGTGACAGCTTTAGTAACCTCAGTTAGTGACGGAGGACCTGTGTCTATATCCCATTCAGGGAGGTGTTGGATGCTCGGAAGGTTGAGCGTGGCTGTGGGCAAATTAAACTGCTCCTCATAATGCTCTTTCCAACGATCCAGTCGTCTATCCTGGGAGCTAATTATAGTGCCATTTTTTTCCGAGATTGTCTCACTGATGATTTGTCTTCTCCCACCCGTTTCCCTGATGAGTCCAAAGAGTTGCCTGGTGTTGCCTATCCTCGAAGCTTTCTCCATCTCTTTGGCTTTTGTCGCCCACCACTGTTCACGGTCCTTGCGGAGACTTTTCGTAAGTTTCCTCTTGTGCAGCTTTCGCTCCTCATTGAATTCGGAGCTCGCCGGAATAAGTCTTCTAGCATCTATCAGTTCGGATGAGGCGGTGGAGATCCAGTGGTTTTTACTCACCTTTGGGTTTACCTTATTCACAGCTTTTACAGCTGTATCTATGGCTGCCTGGATATTTTTCCAAGCTTCTTCAGGGTGAGCACAGCTGTCGAACACAGATATGTGTTTAGCTAGTTCTTCCTGAAATACGGATTTAGTTTCCTGATCGAGCTGGGGACGTGATGGTTTTACCGCCAGCTGTTTCCTACGTCCGTTCAGTCGTAAGCACACCCGAGCGCGGACCAGTGCATGGTCGGTATCTACGCACGTGTTCCAGAAGGAGCGACAATCTCCTACCGACCCACGCCAACGATAGCTTATTGCTATGTGGTCTATTTGTGTCCAGCGTTGGTTTGATGAAGGGGGTCTCCAAGTCAAACAGTGTCTCTCCTTGTGTTTAAAGTTAGTGCTTACAAGAAACAAATGATTATCAGAGCAGAACTGTAGGAGACGGTCACCGTTGTCGGTTCGCTGGCACGGAACTCCATAGGTGCCACCGACATCCTTCTCAGATTGACACAATTTCCCTACTTGAGCGTTAAAGTCACCAGCTAGAACGACTATGTCTGAGCGTTTAGCCTTTCCACCAAACTAGACAGCTTTTGGTAGAACTCATCCTTCGTTTCATCTGAACTGCAGTCAGTGGGGGCGTAGGCGGAGATTACGAAAAGGCATCGGCGAGTAGTGCAGTCCTTCCTCCTTCTTACTGATCCGTTCAGGCGGACAGCACACATTCGGCTATCTACCGGGATCCAGTCAAGCAATGTCTTTTCTGCCCTAGTACTCAAAGCTATCCCTACGCCAGCTAATCCTCGTGAACTAGCTGTGGCATCTCCTGACACCCTCAAGGTGAATTTTGCAGATTCAACCTGTTGGCCAGGTGGGGTTAGGTGAATAACCACACTTGGGTCTTGTATGCGTGTTTCTGAAACACAGCATACATCAATGGCTCGTGATGCGTTGTTGTCCTATTTGGCAAAGTGTCCTAACATTAAGAGCTCCTATATGAAATTGGTGGCGCGGCTTTAAGAGGCTGTCGGTGGTGGTTTTTTGGCTTCCATCGTTTTTAGTGGACGCAGAACATTACTAACGCTAACATTACTCGTCGAGGAAGGCGATGACTAGGCATATGTAACACATATCTTAACCATCTCAGTCTACGTAACTTCACAACCTTGTCGATTGATTTCCCCTGCTTACCTAGCACTTGACGCCTAACCTTAATATTGCTCACACTATTACACCGACCAATTCACACGGGAAATAAAACGCAGGCACCTATGATCAAAGACAGCTAATCTTCTCATGTCTTCCACTCTCAGTGGCCAGGTCTCACAGCCATAAAGGAGGACGGAGCGGATTGATGAGCAGTACACCCGCATCATCATAAATTCATATTAGATAAGTTTACTTGATATAATACATCACGATACTACAGTATTAATAACTGGATGACGCTTTGAGCACAATTTATTGCTCAAAGTCATATCAATTTAGTCACACGACTGACGTCATAATATTCTCCACATATTTTCCTCTTTCCCCCTTGTTATTTTTTGAAAGCAATTTTCCATGTATCCAGGATAGGCATTGCGTCATTTCGATTGAACGCGTTTGGTGTTGATTAGCCTCCCTTTCTCCCTCTTCCCATCTAACTATATTGTATTTTACTACTTTTAGCCAATTTTACCATAGTCCGATTATATACAGTATCAATCATTTTTGGTCTAGCTAAAAAGTAAACAAATGATGGGTAAGATATAAGAGTTTATAGGGAACTGGCACATTCTAATAAACACCTGGGCTTTAATTCATCCTAGCCGGAATCCGTAAAGATAGGGTTTAGCTAGATGTCTGTATAATTGGTTCAGGAGTCTAGTTAATAATTCAGATTTAAATAATGAAATTAAACAAATAGGAGGGGGGGAATTAATAGTGAATAACTATCAACCAGATTTTACTGAAGAAAGTGTGAAGACCTATAAGTAAAACTGGGTTAGTAATGTAAATAATGAAATTAATATAAATAATGAGGAATTTAAAGCCTCAATATTACTGCCATATAAAGAAGAAGATTCTGAATAAAAATAGAATTAGGGTGACATATAGACAAACCAACTCACTCAGAGACAGACTTTGTTAACTTAAGGACCTTAATAGATCCAATTATGAAAAATAATTTACCAAATATTATGTGATGACTGAAAGTGAGGTCAACTGTACATAGGAAAAACTAGCAGATCAGTGTCAGTAAGATTATCGGGACAAAGAGACTTAACTAGACTTAGAATGATTCACCCTGCTAAGTCAAATAATCCAGATAAACTCTGGGTCACTGCAATGCATTCACTTGCATATAATGACAAAATATGGCGGGATAGGGTAGAAGTAGTAAAATATAATATAGATGGAGAGAGGGGTTAATCACTGAATCTTTTGTTCATTGAATCAACACCAAACATGTGCAATCGAAATGATGCAATGCCTATCCTGGATACATGGAAAATTGTTTTCAAAATAACAAGGGAGAAAGAGGAAAATATGTGGAGCATATTATGAAGTTAGTTGTGTGACTAAATTGATATGACCATGAGCAATAAATCACCAGTTATTAATATTGTAGTATCATAGTGTGTTATATCAAATAAACTTATCTGATATGGAATCACATTACAGCTTGTTTACACTGATCCTAGAAGTTATCGGTCATGGAATATAAATATATAATTGATTGTAATTTCTGGTCATATGCATTTTACTTGGATCAATAAGTCTTGCTTTCTGCATCTTCTCAGGGTGAGATTATTTTTCCAGTGGTCATTCATTTACGGCTGAAGTCTTGCGGGTGGATAACAGCCTCTTTCCTAGCTTTCAGAGAGTCAGTAAGCGGGAATTTCGAATTAAGTATAATCAGGTTATTGAATGAGGTGGGTGACTAGTCCACAACGGGAAATTTGACTTAGTGGATAAAACACGGTTTACATCCTGTGTTTTACTACATAAACGTTCAGTGCTAAAGAATTAAAAAAGCAGTTTATCACCACGTCACAAAGAAGGTAATCCTGTAACAGAAAATAGCACAAGATACTCTGTAGCAAGTCTGGACGGCAGGTTTAATCCACCCGTGCTTACTACCGTGAGGTTTACAATTTAATATTGGTAAACAAAATATCTCAGAGAATGAAACTCATGTGACATGTCACATAAAAGATTCTATTATTCAAAAAAAAAACAGAACTATACAAAAAAATTTCGGAAACTGTAAATTCCTTGATTAGATCATCAGCAATAAACTGTGCCTCAAACGTTATCCATTTATTAGTATTGCGTTATATTAAAGACGGTAATAATGATGGAAGCAAGCAATAACAAGGAATCTTATTTGCATCCATTACTTTTACAACTACTAGGTTGGAATGTATAAAGTGGGATGTAACGATACACAGGAATGAAGTTGCATTATTTTAGGTGAGGAAATTAATATACTTAACAATGACGGAAATACGAAACTGGCTCAATGTATGCCAACAATACTTTTGGGATAAAAAGCATATTTAAACGCCAATTTTTCCGCCGACTTTGTCGCTAGCAGTAGATATTATCAAAGATCAAGTGATTGTAATGGTCTAACTGGAGTACAATTGGGTGGACTGATTGTTGTAAATCCTTCACTGGGTCAATACTTGCTTACTGGAGTTAATTCAACCCAATGCTACTTTATACTGTTTTTGTTAATTGATTCGATTATTTGTATGTTAACTAATAATAAGTCATTACTCACGGAAGATGTATCAGACAAAGTCATAATACTGGGAAGTCATAACCAGTCGGGTGTGAGGACAAATAGTCGCCGATGACATTGGCTGCCGGTCGTGCCATGTCATCAATTATCAGACGTTAGAATTCATAGTGGCCATTGGATCGGGTCCCAGTGGCTTAATGGTCTGCGAACTCACTGGCCTTGCAACCAGAAGATCCTGTCCAGTACTCCCTGCGGGTTTTCCAATGGCTCTCTAGCCGATATCAGCTCATGATGAAATCCTGTAACCAACCAATCAAATCCCTACACATAAACACTTGAAAGTCATTTTAATTAGCTGTTTCGACTGATAAAATATTATCTAACAAACACATACATGTCAACGTACTTAGCAATAACTTACGTCTGTTGTATGTCAACTGATGGCACTAACTGATTTTGTTACACTCAGTCTGGTTTTGCATTGGATAAAACTCAATGCCTTAATAAACGATGGCTGGGCATGTAAGAAAACGTGTTATGTGGCTCATGTATATTTGACGGGCTTACTTCATTTATATGGCACCCTGCAATTAGCATAATTGTTGCTGGACTTTTCAAACCTGACGATATCATGTCATCAAAACCTAAGAGATACATCTAATAATAGCGGAGGCAGACGAATACGACCACTGTACAATAAGTAAGCTTCCTAATAGTCACATGGCTGCACATTAAGTAACATAACCACTTAGTTTTGCAATCACTGTTATTCTTTTCATATTTCTGCGTTCTTAAATACTCTGATCTACATATAATTAGCTAGTACCCCGATATCACCATTTGTTTGGCTTAATACACCGAACGGCTCTTGTTTCTCAGTCCTTTTTTGCCAAAATCAAACCTTTAGCAATATCGATATAGCAGTGAATGATGCAGTCTGTTTATAAGATACCAAAAAAAAAAAAGAAGATAAAAAATTGAAAGGGCCATTTCCATTTCATTTTCCCGCCCCGCTCGTCATGTTTCATTTTTTCCTTTTTCCCCATGGGGAGGCGGTGGTTAGGCATGCGCAGCACGTGACCTAGCCATCTTAGTCTATGTAACTTTATAGCCTCGTCGATTGATCTTCCCTGTTGACCTCGAACTCTACGCCTAACCTCAATGTTGCTCACCTTATTATGCAGACGTACAAATTTATGCTAAAACAATAATTTACCATTGAAATCTGAAATAACTGTGTTTTTAGAACTTCCTTGCTCCTCAGAAGAATGATCACTTTCTGTATCTTCTTGTTCGCTTCCATTTAATTCGTAGCTCTTCTTAATTGTTATAGCTTTTAGTTCATCATCTAGATCTTCATCATCCTGTTTAGAGCTCCTTCAAAAAGAAAAAAGAGGTATTAGAAAGCGGCCAAATATACTGACATTCTGCAATGGGCTTATATCAGAGTAGTTGAAGCTTAGCTGATTGATTTAGGCATTATTTAATGGATAGAGCAAAGACATAAGTGTCTAGGTAGTTGATTATCGAAAAATGAGTCATTTACTTGGACAGACACAGTCGGTATTAGTTTAAACTTCTTATTTTACCAGTGCGACTTTATTTAACGCGACATTCTTAATGGGACTGTGGCATGTGCCATTGATAAGATTTTGTAAGCAGTACATTGTGTATGATATTTTCTCCAAGAATCTAGAATAGCGGAGGGATTGATTAAGTTGCTAATTAATATATGAGCTCCTTATGAAAAGACATACAAAGTATGAAAGTAAGACGAAAGAAGCGCAGTGCGGATAATATGTGCAAATCAAGATTTCAATATATCAGGTTTCTGCATTCAGTCATAACTGCACATCATTTTTGACCACTAAACTATTCTGCTTCTAGATACTACCATGTTCTAGCGTTACAGCGCTTCTACGAATGCATCAACAGAAAAATTAATAACCCAAAATGTTTACTTCATTAAAATTCAGTGACTCATGTTTAATTTCATAAATATCGCAAGTTGCTAAATTTCACCAGTCACTACTACTAATGACTGTTTACTTAATCTAACTACTTTTCCTTATATTTAAAAGTTCGCAGCTGTTGTTACTATTTAAAAAAGTACCAACTCACCGTTTAGCGATAGCAATATCACGACTAAGGGCATACACTAAACCTTCACTCATTACTGACGATCCAGAAACCATAGATTGCCCACAGGTTGATCGAGATTTGTATTGCAATACAAGCTGGAAATTTAGTATACTTAAATTTAAATTACCTTTTCAAACTCTCTGTTCATAATGGTTGCATCATCTGGATAATCATCTTCGGATGAATTGTCAGGTGGATAAGAACTTGAAGTGTTCGCTGAACGTTCGTTGGTACCGTATAAGAAACGTTCCATGAGTGAGACTTTATCTCTTGAGAGTTTTGACATATCTGTTTCTATTGGTTTTGCATCTATGACAGGTTTATTATTCTCAGCTGCTTTAGAATTCTCTCCTTCTTCAGATTCAGTCTCTGAATCTTTTACTGCGTGTCCACCTGCGAGTTCCACGAAGTTATCTTCTATTTCACTTTCCATGTCAAAAGATTCTGCATCTGAGTCCATGTTAAGATCGCTTACAGCATGTTCGTCGTAATCAACTTCTGGTTCACGCAATTCTGGTGATTCAGGTGGATTACAATCATCTTCTGGGCAATCCTCGGGTATTACTGATATAGTCTGAGGATAAAAATACCAAGTGTTCAATATTCTGAAACATACCAGTTCAGTATAATAAAATTATCGATAAAAGATAAGTCTTAAACATTTCTGAGGGAAAAATATTTTAATTTTCCAAACAGACCAATCCAAAACGTGAATTTGTAACATGATCATCCTCAGAAACATTTAAAAATTTAGACATTTTACCAGCTGATTTATGACGTAAACCCAAGAAATAATTGAATTGTAAGTGAAAAATACATTACTAGGAATTTTTAAATGGAACTAACTTTCAAGAATAGTCTGAAGTCCTCTTTTTTTTCCTTCACGTCCCCAGTGGAACATAGGGCTTCAAGCTAGTGGCTTGAAGTTTCTGTAGCTGTGTTTATTTTTACAGGATGGGGTTGCTAGCCTCATGTCTAACCTTTCCTTTTTACCAGTCTTATTACTGGCTCAGCAAGGTAAAGGAGTGAGTCGGCCAGGGATCGAACCCCTGACCATGTGCATGGTCGGCGAGCGTCCTAACCGCTATACCACCGAAGCCCTCTAATTCGTTATAATACTGCATGTGTTTATAGTAGAAAGTTTTAAGTCATCATACTTTCTGTTTCATACAACATATCTTCCTGATGTCTAAGATTGACAGCTACTAACCCACAACACCAGGAGTTTGCAGATATATATATATATATATATATATATATATATATATGGTCTAAGCAAATCTCTTTTGCAAGCAACACTTCTTAACTACATCAGTCTAGTGCTATGGTCACTTGGAAGCTGATCTTCCATTAACGGACAACACAACACGCCTAATGAGGTTTACTTCGTCACAAAATACAGAGCAGTACCATATGACACCCATGATTACACAAATCTGTGCATAATAAGTAACTTCGAATATATTAGAGGCAACAGCTAAACCCAAATGCGTGACCGAAGCAACTGTTAAAACTGGTAAGTGCACCTTGAGAATAACATCGTCTGTGATTGAAATGCGGCACTTCGACGTATAATAAACAATTCATCTGTTCCAGCTAGAGTATCATGTGCTACTAAACACAGGCAATAGGCGAAGAAACGTGTGAGAAAACTACACAATAGGGTGATTTACTGTCAATTCTTCGGAAGATGAAATCAGTTAGCGAAATGCAATAAAAACTTAGCGAGCTATTATATAAACATGTATACGTAAATGGTATACATTATCTCTATTTCACCTTCGCGAGAAAAAACAGTCTGAAGCATTTCGCTCAAAGTACAAAACCAAAAATCGAAGAATCTTTATGTTTTAGTCGGTTTCGACTATCGAATTGCCAGCGTGGGGCTTTCAACAGAAGGAACGACCTTTTCATCTCTTGTAAGGTCCTAAAAAGCACCCAATGTACTGAATAATGCGAGAATTAGCAAACACCCACCAGTCTATGCCGGTCGTTTATGAATCACGATACCAGTGATAATTTAGTCCTAAAAATAAATGCTGCCAGGGTCATCCTCATGTGAACCATATAGAAGCAAAGTGGACATTCAATCAGATAAAACTTACATAACCTTCTCTGGTATCGGAGGCGGATTTCAGATGTTGCATGTAGTCATAATCGTCATCAAAAAATATTCCGTAATTGAAATGAATAGGTACACCCGGAATGGGCTTCGAAACTTCCTTTTCAATTGGTTTGAGCTCACATGGCTTCCAGTCCTTTTTACTGAATCTCTTCATTGACAAGAAGGTAACGACTGGATGTGATTACACTGGGACGCACACTTCGATATTACTAGCTATTAAATATGTAATTGCTGAAATTTAAAGAATGAAATTATTAGGAAGAATCATAATAACTGATCATTTACCGCTCCATCACTCATCCTATACACTTACATAAAATACTACCACCGCAGACACGCTACTTAATTGTACCGTTCTAACTAAAGTAGGCGCGTTACTATTTCAATGAACATATACCTAGATAAGTGAAACTTACCAGGCGCGGAAACATAGACATGTACACACCAATCGGAATATGAGGACGCCTAATCCTCCGAATACTAAAAGGTACTGCATATGCAAATCTCTGCCTGGAACAAGCTGGATTCGGGAAAAGTATGCGGACCAGATTGCAATGATATGTATCATCATCGAACAGAGCAGATAATAGCATTCAAATCTTCACCTCATCTGTTTTGAAATGGCCTTCGATAGCGATGACCGCGAAATAATATGGAAACTACTTCAACACTATGGATTGCAGTATTATTATTGTTCCCTTGGGTTCCTAGTGGAACATATGGCTTCAAATGCACGTCTCCACTTGCCACTTCTGTCTTCCTTCTGCTGTGCTTTTCACCCGCATCCATGTTAGTCCACACTGTTTCAACTCCTCTTCACACGATCTCCTCCATGTCACCCTTGTACGTCCCACTCGCCGCCTCTCTTTCGGCTTGGTTCCACTCGAGAAATGGCTTGACGCGCGGTGTCACCCAGCGGTCTCCTCAGCGAGTGTGTGTTCGATCCATCTCCACTTTCTCCCTAATTTTTGCTGGGTGATTGATTCTTGTTTTGTTTCTTGTTGGCGATTCTTTCCGGCCCGGTTATCTGATCTTCAGTATAATGCAAAGACAGTTGTTGATGAAGGTCTGCAACCTTTTGGAAATATTCTTTGTGACCCGCCAAGTTTCTGATCCGTATAGAAGAAGTGACTTTACGTTTGTATTGAAAATCCGAATTTTGTTGTTGATGATGACTGAGTGACAAAGATTTCCAGATTGGTTGTTTACAGGTTGATGAATGTGTTTCTCGCTTGCCTTCCCTATTCTCGATTTGACATCCTCGTCCGTTCCGACTTCCTGTGGTTGAGACAATGCTCCCTAAATAAGTGAATGAAGTCACCTCTTTCAAATCCCTCCCGTTGATAGCGATTGACGCTGGATGTTGCTGCTGTTGTTGTTGGTTTGTTATTTTCATCACCTCCGTCTTGTCTACGTTCACTTGGAGTCCTGTCTTCGCAGACTGCTTCTTCGACCAGTTGGTCGGTTTTCGCTTGTAGGTCTTCGATTTTGTGTGACATCAAGCATAAATCATCCACGCGCGAAATCCAGGTCTTCTAGGTTCTTCACCTCGGTCCAGGATATCCCTGTCTTCTCGTTTCCCACTACTGTCTGACGCATAATCCAGTCAGTCCACCACAATTAGGAACATCATTGGTGATGGATAATAAGCACCCTTGTCTGACTCCTGTGTTTACTCCAAACGCCTTGCTGAGTTTTCCGTTGTGGATCACTTGACATGTGCCGTTGTCGTACAGCTGTTGAATAAGGTTGATGAATATTTGGGGTACGCCATAGTACTCGAGTAATTTCCAAATTACTTCACGGTCAACGCTGTCCAAAGTCTATAAAGTTGAGGTAGAGGTTTGATTGCCATTCCATGCTTTGTTCTGTGATGATGACTCATAGAGTTGCAATATGGTCAGTACATGATTTGCCTTTCCTGAATCCAGCTTGTTCAGGTTGGCGGAGTTCTGCATCCAGTGCGTCCTTTGTTCTCTCCAGGATGATGCGACTCAGGATTTTACTTGGCGTCGACAGGAGCATGATTCCTCGCCAGTTCTTGCAGAGTGAGGCGTAAGTCGCCCTTCTTTGGTAGTTTCACGAGGTAACCTTTCCTCCAGTCAGTAGGCACCTTTCCCTCCTTCCAGACCTTTTGCAATAATGGAGTCAGCATGTCTGCTGTAGTCTCTGGGTCCGCTTTCAGTGCTTCAGGGGGTATTCCATCTGGTCCAGCTGCTTTTCCAGCTTTCAGAAGCTTGATTGCATTCAAGACTTCAGCTCTCGTTGGAGGATTGGTGTCAACTTGCAGTTGTGTGCGCGCTGTTGTTGGTATTTCTGGACGGGTTGCAGGTGATGGTCGGTTCAAGAGTCCTTTGAAGTGATCCGCCCATTGTTTAATCTGTTTTTCTTCCTTGGTGGTTGGGTTCCATTGGCTGTCTTTTATAGGTTTCCCTTGTGTTGATCTCTTGCAGATAGAGATTTGGTTATCTGATATAATGTCCTCAGGTCCCTTTTGCCTGCTGCCTTCTCAGCTTCAGTGGCCAGGTTGTCGTAGAATTGTCTTTTGTCCTTCCTAGCACTCTTCTTCACTTCTTTGTCCAGTGCTTTGTAAGTTGAGCTCAGCGTCTCCTTCTCCTGTCCGTCCTTGCATTGAATCATTTTCTCTTTCACCATTTTCCTTTCCTCTATTACCTTCCAAGTGTCCATTGAGAGCCATTCCTTGTCTTGTCTCTTCTTTCTTCCTAGAACCGTTGAACACGTTTCGTTGAGAATCGCCTTCAGAGACTTCCAATGTTCTTCCACGCATGATTCTTCAGTGATGTCGCGTAGTGTTTCCTGCTTTGCTCTGACAGTTGCAGTGAAAGTGTCTTTTGTGGTTGTGTCCTTCAGTTTTTGAGTGTTGAACTTGCATTGTGGCCTATCCCCAGCTATCCTCGAGGCTTTTAGTTTCACCTTGAAAGTCCCTTCTACTAGATAGTGGTCTGAACCCACATCTGCTCCTCTCCTTGACCTTGTGTCCAGTAGGCTCCGTCTCCACTTTCTTGAAATTGAGATGAAGTCTATTTGGTTCTTGGTGTGTCCATCTGGTGAAATCCATGTCGTCTTGTGTATATCCTTGTGTTTGAATACAGTGCAACCAATCACCAAATTATTGAAGGCGCAGATGTTTGAGAGGAGTTCACCATTGTCGTTCATTTCGCCGAGGGCCTCTCGACCCATGGTGAGTTCTCTTCCTGTGTTGTCTCCTCCTAGCTTCGCATTCATATCGCCCATCAGGATTTTGATATCGCCATTTGGGACGTTGTCCATTGTTGCTTGTAGTTGTCTGTAGAACGCCTCCTTCTTCTCTTGTTCTGAGACGTTTGTAGGCGCATAGCATTGAATGACTGTAACTTTCCTTCCTTTTGAGTTGAACCTGGCTGTCATTATCCTGGAGGAGATTGGTTCCCACTGCATGAGAGCTTTGGTTGCTGTTGGTGACATCATGATGGGCACTCCCTCGGTGTGCTCGTGATTGTCCTCTGGGTGGCCGGAAAAGATTACTGTCTCTCCAGTTGGTAGTTGGCACCTTCCAGTTCCGTTCCATCTGCTTTCGCAGATTCCGAACACTTCTATTCTGTACCTTCTCATTTCAGCGGCTATCTGGGCAGCCTTTCCAGTTTCGTACATTGTACGAACATTCCAGGTACCCATCCTTACTTTTGCTTTCATCGAAAGAAGGCACATCGGCTGACTGGCTTCCCGAAGGCTTTCACCAGCCTGCGTCATTTCACTTCCCCGATTCCAGCGAAAAATAAGGTTACTGTTTATATTTTTAGAATTTTTAATATATTTATGAGTCAAAGTTTCTGTAGCGGTTTGGTTGAGCTTCTGGGATGGAGTTGTTAGCACCACACCTCAACCCTCCCTCTCTATTCGGGCTTAGGACCAGCAAGAAAACTAGCAAGCTAGTAGTCTAGGCGAGGTTAGGGATCGCAGTGCTTCATATCAGTGTTAACCTCATATTATGTGTATATGTGTAAAACTTGGGCACTGTGCTAGTAATTCCACATTAGTTTGTTTATTAGATGTATCACACAGTGAAACCGTATTATTTACTGGATTACGTTTTGAAAAAATTTATTGTTCACAACCATATCAATTGTAATCACACGACTTTGAAACTTGAGTTTTATAGTTTTCTTTGTTTTCTCCTATTTGTCGTGATTAGGGTAGCAGAATTTTCCAGATATCTGGGACAGGTGTTGAATCATTCCTATTCCATGTATTTGCAGTTGTCACAGGGTATAGGGAGAGATTGATAACAGAAGATTTGTTTATCGAATCAACTGCAAATACATGGAATGGGAATGATTCAACACCTGTCTCAGATATCTGGAAAATTCTACTACCCATACGGCAAATAATAATAATAATGCGTATTCTCATATAAACATATAAATTTAAGTGAGAATGCATGCCGTTTTTACAGGCACGATCAAGTATGATATAATATCAAATCGTAGATTGTCTACAAGTTAATAACATTTCAACTGTTAAATATCTTATATATATAAATAATGACACTCATTTTCTGAACCCGGCCGTATGGTTATTGAATTTTACAGTGTCCTCCAGGTTGAGCGGGAAAATCGACTTCGTTTCGTTTTCAACCCGTGGTTGTAGGCATACGACAACCAACCAATGTTGAGGTAAGTACAACGTTTACAAGGGATTGAAAGCTGTTTTAGAAAAGTAAAAGTGTTAAGGTGAATCAATAAAGTGCAATGAAATAGGTAAGTGCAAGTATCATTAGTAAATTCAATTATAAAGGAAACTCCCTTGGCTGACAACGTTCATTTGCGGTGTATAATGCTACCCATATAGTTCGTACTATCATGGTGTCCAATTTTGGTTTTAATACATTTATCCTCATGCCGGTACTTTTCATTTTTTATCTCATAGTGCATTTGGTGCCCAACCGTACCCTACAGAGAATAGGAATAGAATAAGTCGAATCAAAATCATAAAGAGCTATAAAATGTTAGGTTTAATGGAATATAAGGAGGATCGAGTAAAGAAGTTATTAAAAAATGAATGAGATAAGACATTGTGAAGTGGTATTTAAGATCCGACAATGGACAGCAAGTTAATTTATAAGGTGCCCCATAAATCTGTGCAGATCCCGCGTGGTCGCATCTCAACAATAGGCTGAGCGAATGGTATATATTTAAAAGTAGAAGCATGATTTGTCTAGGCGTTCACTATTATCTTTTTCAAGATAAAGATCTAAGCCCTCATAAAAATCAGAAAAATCTCGTGTCTTCAAATTACATATTGCTGCTCCTGCAGAATGGGGCGATTCACCTCAGTGACCACCACCATATCTACTGATCAGCTAGCGCCACCCTCCCTCCTTTTTTGATGATA